ACACACACACACACACACACACACACACACCACATCCACCATACCACATACCACACATACACACCACACCACATACCACACATACACACCACACCACATACCACACACACACACACACCACCACACCACATACCACACACACACACACACACACACACCCCGCACCACATACACACATATACATACCACACCCACACCATAACACATACACACGCACACACCATACCACACCACATACCACACATACACACACACCACATTCTATACAGACACACACACACACCACATACCACACATACTACACACCACACACACACACACACCACTATACATATACCACACATACACACCACACTACACATTCACCACACATAAACACACACACACACACACCACACACACCACACACACCACAGGGTCTCTCTCCCTCTCCCTCCTCTCTCTCTCTGTAATAAACAACTACGTTTTTTCTCTTTTAAAGAATTTAACTTTAAAATTTGATGCCATGATTCTGTTTCCCCCCCAGGTGTACCACATTTCCAGAAACACGTGGTTCAAGATGGAGACAAGGATGATAAAGAATGTGTGTGCCCCCGCAGTGGTGTTGGGGGAGAGGATTGTCATTGTGGGAGGTGAGTGAACGGAGAATGACTGGCCGGGAACAAACTTGTCAGCTTCTGGGGAAAATGGCTGCTGGCAGGCGAGTGTTACTCTACGGGCAGGTCTTCTGAAAAGCACATCCATCCTCTGAGGAGAGCGTGGAAAACCGGAAAAGCTATTTACCTGGAAGCTTCTTCCTGTCTCTCTATATAAACAAGGGATGGAACTGTACGAGTTCTGCAGAGCTGTTGTGTGATAAAATGTATTATGTGGCTAAAGCCGGCGGGATTGTTCAGACACATGAAGAAGAGATGTTTCCTGCCGTTAACCCTAGCTAGGTGTGGTGGCTCACACCTAAAATTTGAGCACTTGGGAGGCTGAGACAGGAGGATTGTCACTAGTTTGAAGTCAGTCTGTGTTACATAGTGAGTTCCAGACCAGACTAGTGTGAGACCCCATCTCAGAATAATAATGATAATGATACTACTACCAACAACAACAACAATGGTAACTAATGTATCATTTCTCTGTAAATGCATGATATATTATGGTTAAGAGGGCTAGTTTAGGGGTCAAAGAGACCTTGGTTCAAATCCCAACTCTACCATTTAGTGGTTATATACTTTTTGCAAGTTATTCAACTTTCTATGTCTTGGTTTGCCTGTCAGTAAAATAGTGACCTTTAAAATAACTGCCCAGTAGCCTGCCATGGGAATCCATTTCTGTGTTCCCAAAGAAGGTCTCCTTCCTTGAATGCTATGGCTCTTGGGTCACACAGGGGAGCTGAACAGGCCAACGGGGCTGCCAAGGCTACTGGAAGGCAGAGTCTGCCCCTCCTCTACAAATGGCTTGCATGGCTGCCTACATTTGGGCCGGAGCCAGAGAGATCCAGATGCCAGCCCCAGCTCTGCCACATGCCAGGCTGCAGCAGGGTAACCTGGGCATGCCTGCTTTAGTTCAGAGTCCCAGCCTCGTGTGGGCAGGGAGCAGAAGCATGCTTCAACCACTCACCCACAGCCCCAGGGGAAGCCACCCACATCTGTTTTATATGGTATTCAATTTTCAGGTTACACAAGGAGGATTCTTGCTTACGACCCTCGGTCCAACAAATTTGTCAAATGTGCGGACATGAAAGACCGAAGGATGCACCACGGGGCCACAGTGATGGGGAACAAGCTGTATGTGACAGGTGGGCGGAGACTGACCACAGACTGCAACATTGAGGACTCAGCCTCCTTTGACTGCTATGACCCTGAGACGGACACCTGGACATCGCAGGGACAGCTACCTCACAGACTCTTTGACCACGCCTGCCTGACACTCCAGTGCATACCCCACATGGCCAGCCTCACATGAAGGCCACAAGAACCTTTGTTGGTCAAAATGCTGTGTAACACAAAAGATTGGAAAACAGTTCCAAAGGCCTAGAGTTGAAGGAAGTCAAAACTTCCACTCTCTACACAGTAGTCTTTTTTAAAAAAATGCCAGTGGGTGCTTTTTTGATTCCATCCCTACCTCTTGAACCAATGCCAGAAATTGCACTATTATAACTGGATAGGTCTGCATCACACCCCTTCAGATGGAGGCAGGGTTAACGACTTGATTGATGGCCCATACTGCATGGAATCAGACAGAAGATGTTTCCCAGAGGAAGAAAGAATTCTGGACACGGATGGACACACACACACACACACACACACACACACACACACACACACACACACACGTCATCCTTTGCATCCAGAGTGGGAGGGTTAGCCCAAGAGGAGCCTTACAATCACTCAGGCCAGGTGACAGCTTGTGAAACTGTTGTGATTGTGACCCTACGTTTCATGGGTACAGCACATTGAAAGTGGGTTCAGTTCGGTATCTACCTAGGGTCTACAAAATTATCCTGCAACGAAAAACATACGAACAGAACCGTGTCTGCTTCTCGTGCCAGCCGGTGCCAGACGACCTTTAAAGCTGCGGGATTAAGCTGGGGTTTCATTTCAGCAACGTGTTAGGAAAATGGCTTTTCTGGGGAAAGCCAACAGATTCCTCAGCAGCAACAGCAACTCTTCCCTCCGGATATCAGGGCTGACCCTCCCTGTGGCCCCTTCAAGTCCAAGTGCCCCTCACCCTCACTCAATGTCAGGCCCACGGAAAAGCTGAAGTGCATCAGAGGCTCTCAGTGAGGCCCCGATGGCATGATCACAGGGAAGACGTTTGGAAACATCGCTGAGTCCCATTCAAGATGGATGCACAGGGGTTCTCTGAGGTGAGGTCCAGAATTCTGTAGTTCCGAAAGGCATCCTAAGGTGACCCTGTCACTCAGCTGTGGTGGAGAATTGAAGCCCTGCTCTGCTGTGTGCACTGAAGACCACCATGGCTACTCTTTCCCATCCCGTCCTGACCAATGCTAGGCGATCTCAGTGTATAAGCAAAGTTGTTTCCCACCCACGGAAGCATCTGGAATAAATTGGCCATTCTGTGGTACATGCTGGAGTCTCTCTCCCTTCCCAGTGTTGCTAAGGCTTCTCCTTTCTTCCCGCGTTCACCTCAGGCTCTCTTCATGAGATAATACTGTGGTCCAGGGACTCTGCCAGCACCATTGACCCTGCCCCTCAGCCTACACGCTGCCCCTTTCTCTAGACCCTCCCCCGTTTTGAGACAAGGTTTCATGTAACCCAGGTTGACCTCAAACACACTGTGTAGCCTTGACCTTCTAACCCTCCTGCCTTCAGCTCCCAAGTTCTGAGATTACAGGTACGTGCCACCATTCCTGGGCTATGCTTCACTGGGGATCAAACCCAAAGCACCGCACATGCTAGACAAGCATTCTACCAACCACAGCCCTGGCCCTAATCCAGCCATTCTCCTTGAAGTCTTTAGTCGGGCTCCTGGTCCCATCTCTTCCTGAACATGGACTTGGTAAGGTACCCAGTGACAAAACGCTGTCCATACAGTCCGATTTCATGTCCTGCCCATGTTGGCTGACCACACAGCACATCACTGCCCATCCTCCACCTTGAGCTGCTTCTGTCTTCCGACTTCCACGACGCCTCTTGCTCTTGCTTCTCCCCACGGTGACTCAGTTTTGTCTCCTCATTTTCATGACTGTTAAATGGGGATATGACGAAAGTTTCAGTTCTTAGTCCCTTTCTCACATCCCCTCTCTCCTTGGATGGCCAAATTCGTAAAATACAGGTAATTGTGTATTATTCTCTTCTGACCTCTGCAGGCACCAGACATGTACATGATGCTCATACACATACATGTGCAACTAAAACATGCATACATATAAAATGTGTGTGTGTGTGTGTGTGTGTGTGTGTGTGTGTGTGTTGTATGTGCTGTGTGTGGGGGTGTGTAGGTGTATTTGGTATGGTGTGGTGTGTGTGTGGGTGGGTGCAGGTGGGTGTATTTGGTGTGTGTGGGGTGTGGGGTGCAGGTGGGTGTATTTGGTGTGTGTGGGGTGTGTGTGTGTGTGTGTGTGTGTGTGTGTGTGTGTGTGTGTGTGTGTAGTGCATGCATGTGTGTGTTGAAAATAGGTCATTCCCCTGTTTAGAATTTCCCCAAGCCCTCCCAGTTCACGCAGGTGAGCCCCAGAGACTGGTAAGATTCCTCAAACCTCAGTGCAGGCTCTCCACTCTTGTTTCAGACCTCGCCGCCATCATGGTTCATCTTTCACTTAGCAGCAGCCATACTGCTCTTCAGGGTTGTACATCCCAGGCATCTGCTCTTCAGGGTTGTACATCCCA